TTCCCTTCTATCCCGTTCTCCCCTCCCTTTCCCTTCTATCCCGTTCTCCCCTCCCTTTCCCTTCTATCCCGTTCTCCCCTCCCTTTCCCTTCTATCCCGTTCTCCCCTCCCTTTCCCTTCTATCCCGTTCTCCCCTCCCTTTCCCTTCTATCCCGTTCTCCCCTCCCTTTCCCTTCTATCCCTTCTTCCCCCCTTTCCCTTCTATCCCGTTCTCCCCTCCCTTTCCCTTCTATCCCGTTCTCCCCTCCCTTTCCCTTCTATCCCGTTCTCCCCTCCCTTTCCCTTCTATCCCGTTCTCCCCTCCCTTTCCCTTCTATCCCGTTCTCCCCTCCCTTTCCCTTCTATCCCGTTCTCCCCTCCCTTTCCCTTCTATCCCGTTCTCCCCTCCCTTTCCCTTCTATCCCGTTCTCCCCTCCCTTTCCCTTCTATCCCGTTCTCCCCTCCCTTTCCCTTCTATCCCGTTCTCCCCTCCCTTTCCCTTCTATCCCGTTCTCCCCTCCCTTTCCCTTCTATCCCGTTCTCCCCTCCCTTTCCCTTCTATCCCGTTCTCCCCTCCCTTTCCCTTCTATCCCGTTCTCCCCTCCCTTTCCCTTCTATCCCGTTCTCCCCTCCCTTTCCCTTCTATCCCGTTCTCCCCTCCCTTTCCCTTCTATCCCGTTCTCCCCTCCCTTTCCCTTCTATCCCGTTCTCCCCTCCCTTTCCCTTCTATCCCGTTCTCCCCTCCCTTTCCCTTCTATCCCGTTCTCCCCTCCCTTTCCCTTCTATCCCGTTCTCCCCTCCCTTTCCCTTCTATCCCGTTCTCCCCTCCCTTTCCCTTCTATCCCGTTCTCCCCTCCCTTTCCCTTCTATCCCCTTCTCCCCTCCCCCACTCTTCCACTCCCCTTTCCCCAGCTCCCAGCGACCCTGACTCCACGCTCGCTTCCTCCCTTGGTTTCTCCCAGTACAGAGATGCGGATGACGCCATGCCGTTGCCGCCCGCCGTGCTGCAGGAGCCGCCCAGAGAGGAGCAGCTGGCGGGCGGCACGCCCAGAGTACGTAGATGCAGGTTGACGCCGTGCCACTGCTCACCTTCCTCCCTCTTCCTTCTCCCCCTACCATTTTCTCCCCTTGCTCCCTCTGTACACCCCCTTCCCCAGCTCCCAGCGACCCTGACTTTACTCTCCCCTCCTCCCTCGGCTTCTCCCAGTATGGGGATGTGGACGACGCCATTCCACTGCCGCCCGCCGTGCTGCAGCAGCCGCCCAGGGAGGAGCAGCTGGCGGGGGGCACGCTTTGGCCGGAAGTGCGCAAGCTGTACGGCCATGGGAATGAGATCCTGTGCTGCACTGCCGACCACGGAGGAAGGTTCCTGGCAACGGCTTGCAAGGTAGGGAAGAACGGGACAAAGGCGCAAGGGGCAAGGGGCAAGGGGCAAGGGGCAAGGGGCAAGGGGCAAGGGGCAAGGGGCAAGGGGCAAGGGGCAAGGGGCAAGGGGGCAAGGGGGCAAGGGGGCAAGGGGGCAAGGGGCAAGGGGGCAAGGGGGTAAGGGGCAAGGGGCAATGGGAAGCTGTACGGGCACAGGAACGAAATCTTGTGCTTTTGAGTCGACCCAAAAGTCGGCACACTTTGGCCGGAAGTGTGGAAGCTGTACGGGCACGGGCATGAGATCCTGTGCTGCTCTGCCGACCACAGGGGAAGGTTCCTGGCGACCGCCTGCAAGGTAAAGGAGGCAGAAGTAACATTTTCTGCTCAGTTTAGGCAACATGGAAAGGAGGGTTAAAGGGGTGGGTGAAGGGGAAGGGCTAGAGGGAGGGGCAAAGGGGAGAGGCAGAGGGAGAGGAGAGGCAGCACTCTGAATTGAGTAAGTGCTGTGGAGCATTCTGAATTGATCCTATGCTGATGCATTTATTTGTCTTGCTGTGGAGAGTTGCAGAGCTTGCGCGCCTGTCCCCCTGTCTTGCTACCTTCCTCCCATTCGTGGTTCCTCCCTGCTTGACGTCTCTCCTTCCCTCTCCCCACTTGCCCCCCTTTCTCCCTCTTCCCTCCCCCTTCCCAGCCTCATCCCTCCCCGTTGAATTCCTCCCCTGTCCCTCCCTTCCGTCCTCCCCTCAAGCTTTCCTCCCTTTCCTTTCGTCCATTTCCTCCCTTTCCTCGTTTTCCTTCACTGTCCTCTCCCCCACCCTGCAGGCCCAGTCACCTGAGTTCGCAGCCATCTGGCTATGGCACACACCCAACCCAACTCCCTCTTCCTCCTCCACCTCCACCACCTCCTCCTCCCCCGCCACCGCGCCAGCAGCCCCATGGACAGCAGCAGCGCGCCTATCCGCCCACACGCTCTCAGTGACACAGATGCACTTCTCCCCCTGCGACTCCCTCCTGCTCTCCGTCTCCCGCGACCGCCACTTCTGCCTCTTTGCTGCCCCCCACGGTGCTGCTTCTGCTGTTGCTGACGCTGGTAGGTCTGCCCCCTGAGCTGGTGGGTCCCTTCCCTCTTCCGGTGCGTCAGCCCCCTGTGCTTACCAGGGCTGCTCGTGGTTCCCTTTGCTCCCTGTGCTCCCCTTTCCCCCTGCGACGCCGCCCTCCTCTCCGTCTCCCGCGACCGCCACTTCTGCCTCGTCTCTGCCCCTCACAATGCTCCTGCTCCTGCTGCTGCTGCTGCTGCTGATGCGGGTGCGTCATTCCTCTGTGGTGCCGGTTCGCTCCCTGCCGGATTGCCCCCTGTGCTCCCGTTGCTGCACTACTAACCTGCTTCGTCTCACCCAACCACCCACTTTTCCCCACCAACCCATGCAGCCCCCTACCGGCTGGAGGCGAGGGTGGAGGCACACAAGAAATAGGCTGCCCATTTCACCTGCTTCTTCTTACCCACCTACCCTCACCCACCTACCTCTTCCCATGAACCCTTGCAGCAACCTTCCGCCTGGTTGCACGAATGGAAGCACAAAAGCGAATCATCTGTGCTTGCTCCTGGGGTTACTAGGATTGACCTTCTTACCTGCTTCTGAGTCGACTTAAAAGTCTTGCCTGCTTCTTCTTCCCCACTCACCCATTCGCTCGGGTCTCACCTCAACCACCAACCCATGCAGCCCCCTACCGCCTGGTGGCGAGGGTGGAGGCACACAAGCGCATTATCTGGGCTTGCTCCTGGGCTTCTCAGCATGGACTTGTTCACTTACTTCTTACCCATACCAACTCTTCTCTGCCTGCCCAACTCATCAACCCATGCAGCCCCCTACCAGCTTGTTGCACGGGTGGAGGCACACAAGCGCATCATCTGGGCTTGCTCCTGGGCGCCTTCAGGCCGCATCTTTTCCACGGGGTCCCGAGACAAAACGGTGAGAAGCCATCGCCTTCTCGCATTCCTCTTAGTTCAATTCTAAGTCGAGAGACAAAAGTCAGCTCCTGGGCGCCCTCAGGCCGCATCTTTGCCACGGGATCGAGAGACAAGACAGTGAGAAGCCATCTGCGCTTCCTTGCGTTCCTCTCCGATTGTGTGATTTGGAGATTTTGTGAGTCGAATCCGCAGCTGCCCCTGGGTGCATCTCTGCGTCTGGGTGCAGAATCAAGACAAGACGGCGAGAAGCCGTCAGCGCTTTGCTTTCTTGCAATCGTTCCTCTCTAGCCGCTTGCCTGTTGTCGTTTCCTTCCCATCACTTGAAAGCGTGCGCTACGGTGTCAGAGCGAGGAGAAGACACAAGTCAGTCCCTTATGTATTCATTCCTCTCACGAAGGATGGAGCTGAAGGGAAGAGCAAGATGATCGGTCTTCTTTCTGCCTCCTCTCCTGTGCCACGTGACATTGCATGCCTGTTGTTGCCTGTCACGCCTTGTCCTTGACTTTGTGAACTGAAGTTTTGACACAACATGTTGTTGGGTTCATGCCTTGGCTGTAGCACGCCGGGCCAGGGTATAATTACTCATGCCAACACCTCAACAAGCCACCTCAGCAAGCCACCTCAGCAAGCCTTCACGTATGCTGTCATCATTCCCACTTTCCCTTCTTCCCCGGATGCAGGTCAAGGTGTGGCAAGTCATAGAACAGCCTCCCTCCGCCACTCCCTCCACTACCTCCCCTCCCCCCTCGCACACCACCACCCTCCTCGCAACCCTCCCCACCTTCCCCCACCCAGTCACGGCTGTGGCCTGGTCCCCTACCCTTCCACCCCTCACTCCTCCCCCTCCTCATTCACAACCCTCCACGACCAACGCACCTGCTGATCCTGACTCAACTCCTGCTCCCGCTGTTGCTGCTGCTCTTCGCTCGCTCCTTGCGGTTGGCTTAGAAAATGGAGCAATTCAGCTGTGGAGCGCAGACCTTTCCTCCTTTGCTGCAGCTACCCAGCAGCATACTTCTGCTCCACCCACTTCCACCGCACTCCACCCCTCGCCTTCTCCAGCCAAGCTCCTCCTGCAGCGTTTGGTGGCCTTCAGTGACATCCATTGCCACCTGGCAGCTGTTCATAGGCTGAGGTGGCGAGGGGAGGTTGTAAGGAGGGATAGAAGATCAGGAGAGGTTAGTGTTAGTGGGGGTAGCGGGGAGGCAGGTGGTGAAGAGGAGGAGGAAAGGTGTTTGGAGCTGGCAAGCTGTTCGGATGACCATTCTGTGAGGCTGTTTCAAATCAATGTGCTTCATTTGTAACAGCAGCTTCTTTTTATTAACTGGTTTGATGATTTTGTTTCACGAATCATGACTCCAAAAGAACTTAACTGAACTGAAGCATTGTACACACTGTCACACTGCACGGTTGGCAGACGACAGTAAATCATAAAAAAATAATATATGCCTCCCAATCTTAGGCTGTCAACGGCAAGTGATTTTTGTTACCCCTTATACAGTTCCTCGGCTTTAGAAGTTTAGCAAGTTTCTAGTTGAGTTTTAAGTAGAAACGATGAGATCTTAAAGGATACTGAATACATGATTACATAAGGGCTTATACTAATAAGTGCCTGCACCAATATGAGGACGAAACCTTGGCGGTCAAGAATATGGGAAGGGAGGTTTGGCACAGGTCTGGGTGGCAATGGCGAAAGCGAAGCTAGGTACTGTAGGCTCGGAAACGCGAGGTCTTTGGGGACCTTTCAAACCAAACAAACAGGGCCCCTTTTGCTAATATTCTCGGGCAGCCCCGCAAAATCTGCGGGGGCACTGCTCGGGTACCTGATCTTATCCACCTCACGCAACCATACAAATACCTTTATAAACACAAATATCGCATTGTACCGCATTCAACATGCAAAACCCAAGGTTAGAACCATTGCACTGCCACCGCAATTGAAATCAGCGGCATCCAAATCCTTGCCGCCTTGGGTTGCGGTCCTTAGGTTTTCAGGACATTCCTTGGACCGCGACAACCACTGCCGGCCCTCCGCCATGGCATCGCGGCTTTTATTGACCCCACCGTCAGCCACCCAGCATGGCATTCCGGCGCCCTGCCCAGAAAGATGTCCTCCGAATACGCCACGGTGGCTTTGCGCGGCCGGACCGGCTTCGCCTTGACGGAACCCTCGCGCCGCACTTTAGAAAATGACGTGCTGCCGCAATACTTAACGCGCCAACGCTGGTTTCCGCACACCCAGCCACCGCAATCGGCGCGCCTTGTTTACGCTGCGCCGCTGTCCCCCGGCGACCCCGGCGCGGAATGCTTCATTGCCGAAGTGGAGATAACGGCCGCGGACGGCCAGCCGCAGCGCCTGTTCCTCCCCTTCGCGCTCATATGGAGCGAGGCCCGTGCCGCGCCGCGCATTGTGCTGAGTCAGCAGCACACCTTGGCGCGCATCCGCCGGAGCGCCGAGGTAGGCTTTCTCACCGACGCTTTCGCGGTCTCGGCTTTCGCCCTCGCGATCATCCACGCGCTCCGCGAGGGTCGCAAAATCGCCATCGCGCCGCCGCCGGCGGCCGGCCGGGACGTCCCGTACGGGGTGCTGCGTTTCCGCGGCGAGGCGGGTTTGGCGGCGCTGGATGACTTACCGGCCGATGCGCGCGTGGAGTGGTTCCCGGGCGATCAGTCTAACAGCTCGCTCAGCGTGGGGGATCAGTCTCAGATCAACGGCGGGAAAGCGATCGTGCTTAAGCTGGTGCGGCGGCTGAATCCCGGCGTGCATCCCGAGGCTGAGATGACGCGCAGGCTGACCCAGCTGGGGTTCGCCAATTCGCCCGCGTTACTGGGCGAAGTGATTCGCGAAGACGGCGACGGCACGTGTTACACCTTGGCGCTCGTGCATCGGCACGTAGCGAACGACGGCGACGCGTGGTCTTGGACTCTGGACTACCTCAAACGGACGCTGGACAACGCTAGTACTCATAACGCTAGTAGTACGCGTACCGGCTGCGGCGGCTCATTGGAGGCAATGCCAACACCAGTGGAAGAATACGACGCCTCATTGGAGCCATTCAATGAATATGATGAACAACAACTAGCGGGTTACTGCGCCATGGCCAGCACCATAGGCAGGCGGCTGGCGGAGCTGCACGGCGCCCTCGCCGACCCCGCTGCTGACGACCCGGCCTTCCGCCCAGAGCGCGCCGACGCCGCGCACGCCTGGCAGCACGCGGCGCAAGCCATCGCGACGCTGCGCGAGGCGCTGTTGGTTTTGGCCGACGCGGAGCGCCGCGGGAAGCTCGACGGTCGGACGCGCGCCCACGCGGAATGGCTGCGGAGCCACGCGGAGCCGTTGACGCAGGCGATACGCAAGCGCGCGTGCTTGGAGCAAGGGTCGCTGTACCTGCGCGTTCACGGCGACTTCCATCTGGGGCAGGTTCTGGTCGCGCGCACCGACGCTTGCACCAACGCGCGCCCCGACGCGCGCACTGACAACTTCCATCTGGGGCAGGTTATGGTCACGCGCACCGTCGCAACCACCGGCGCGCGCACCAACACGTGCACCGACGTGTACCTGGTTGATTTCGAAGGCGAGCCGGCCCGTCCGTTTGGCCAGCGGCGCGCCAAGACCACCCCCCTGCGCGACGTGGCGGGTCTGCTGCGCTCATTCCATTACGCTGCTGCTGCTGCTGCTGCTGCTGCTTCTGCCATGCGGAGCTCACTGGATTCGTTGGGTTTTGAGACGTCTCAAGACTGTGCTCTGCTCACCAGCCCTGCTTGCGCCACCAGCCCTGCTTGCGCCACCAGCCCTGCTTGCGCCACCAGCCCTGCTTGCGCCACCAGCCCTGCTTGCGCCACCAGCCCTGCTTGCGCTTGCGCCACCAACACGTTGGATATCGTGAATCATAAGCCTATGGTCTCGGAACCGACTGTGCCTCAGCTACGCTGGGAGGCCTTGCTCTCGCGCTTCATTCAGCGTGCGCGCAGTGCGTTCGTGCAGGGGTACCATGCAGTGGCTGATCAATCACCCCACCCTTGGCTGAATTTTGGCGCGGAGCAGAGGCTGCTGCAACTGGCGTTGCTGGAAAGAGCGGCCTATGAGGTGTGTTATGAAGCCGCGCACCGCCCTGATTGGCTGTGCATCCCTGCCGCCGGGCTGGCTGAGCTGGCGCGCAGCATACTCACCTCACCATCGAGCGAGGAGGCGCACGAAGCATGAGCGCATGAATCATGAGTGAGGAGGCGCACTGGTGGTTACCACCTCGGCGGACGGCACAGTGGGTGTGTGGGCAGCCAGCTGGCAGGGGCGGGCCCCACAGCAGGGTTCACTTCACATCAACAGCACAGTCAGCCGCCTGGCATGGAGCCGTCGTCAACAGCAGCAACCCCAGGCGGTGGTTCCACTTCCAAGCCAGGGCCGTTGAGTTGATTTTTGAGTCGACTCCAAAATCAACCCAGGCGGTGGTTCCACTTCCAAGCCAGGGCCGTTGAGTTGATTTTTGAGTCGACTCCAAAATCAACCCAGGCGGTGGTTCCACTTCCAAGCCAGGGCCGTTGAGTTGATTTTTGAGTCGACTCCAAAATCAACCCAGGCGGTGGTTCCACTTCCAAGCCAGGCGTTGACCACCGCCTGGCCGTTGAGGTTCACCCTGGCGGCAGTGGAGCGCATTGCAGGGGAGCCAGCAGCAGCGGCCTGTGGGGGGAAGTTTGGATTCTCCCTGGCGGCAGTGGAGCGCATAGAAGTGGACGGGGAGGCCCACAGCACAGCAGGGTCGCACATCGACGTCAGCAGCAGCAGGGGCGGAGGGATCACAGGGAGGGGCGGAGGAGAAAGGTGTTTCGCGTGTTTGAGTTGCCCCAGCTGTTCCTTGACTCTCTGAAGGGAGTGGCGATGGCAGCATTCATGAGCGCGCTGGGTCTGTCACAGTAGCCCATCTGCTCCACTGCTGCCTCCAGTATGTGTGGTGCCATGCGTCTGCGTGCCATGCGTCTGTGTGCCATGCGTCTGTGTGCCATGCGTCTGCGTGCCATGCGTCTGTGTGCCATGCGTCTGTGTGCCATGCGCCTGTGTGCCATGCGTCTGCGTGCCATGCGCCAGTGTGCCATGAGGGATGCACAACAGGTGCAGCAGCAGTGCAAGGGAAGGGCGTGGCGACCTCCCATTCCCTTCCTTCATCATCCACCTTCCCCAGCTCCCAACGGCCCCCGCCTCCACTCTCGCCTCCTCCCTCAGCTTCTCCAAAGACGAAGATGCAGACAACCCCATGCCATTGCCCACCTCCCTCTTCCGTCCCCCTCGCATTTTCTCCCCCCTCCCCGCCCGTCTCTCCTATCCAGCTCCCGCCAGCCCCACCTCCTCCCCGCCCGTCTCTCCGCCTCAGCTCCATTCGCCCATGGACAAATTATTCGCCCATGCTACCATTTTCTCCCATTCCTTACTCTCCCTTCCTTTTCCCTCCTTTTTCTTTCCCTCCCCTCCTGTTCCCTCCTGTTTCATTCCTTCCCCTTTCTTTCCCTCACTTTGCTTTCCCTCCCTTTCTTTCCTTCCCTTCCCCCACGCCCTCTCCCAGCGGTCCCGCCTCCTCACTCGCCTCCCCACTTAGCTCCTCCTAGTATGGGGATGCAGATGACGCCTTTCCCTCCCATTTTCTTCCCCTCCCATTTTCCCCTCCCTTCCCCTCCCACTTGGCTTCCCCCAGTACAGCGATGCAGATGACGCCATGCCACTGCTCACCTTAATCTCCCCTCCACCTCCCATTCTCTCCCCTCCCCCTCTCTTCCTTCTTCCCACCTCAACTATCGCCTCGTCCCTTGGCTTTCCCAGTACAGCGATGCAGATGACGCCATCCACTGCTCACCTCCCCTTCCACTCCCCCCTCCCATTTTCTCCCCCCTTCCATTCCCTCCGTCCTTCTCGCTCCCCCCATCTCCCTGCAGTCGCACGTCCACGCTCGCCTCCTCCCTCGGCTTCTCCCATTAAGGGCGGGGATGCTGACGATGCCTTGCCACTGCTCACCAGCCTCTCCTCTCCCTCTCCCCAGATCCCACCGCCGTGCTGCAGCAGCCGCCTAGAGAGGAGCAGCTGGCGGGCGGCATGCTTTGTCAGGTTCAGACCCCAGCTGTCACACACCAGGCCAAGATAAATCTGCCATGCCAACACCTCAACAAGCCATCCCAATCTGCTGTCATCATTCCACCACTCCTCCTCCTCCCCCCACCCATCCAATGCAGGTCAAGGTGTGGCAAGTCATTGAACAGCCACCCTCCGTTGCCCCTCCCTCTCCCTCCACCACCTCCTCTCTCTCCTCCCACACCACCGCACTCCTCGCAACCCTTCCCACCTTCTCTCAACCAGCCCTTACCTCCCACCCTCACTCCCCCCCCTCATTCACGACCCTCCCCAACCGACCTACGTGCTGACCCTGTCACTGCTCCTGCTCCTGCCACTTCCGCTGCAGCACTGCATTCATTACTTGCTGTCGGCTTAGAGAATCGGGTGATACAGCTGTGGAGTGCACAACTCTCCTCCCCCCCCCGCTGCATCTGCCCAGCAACATCCTGTTGCTGCACTCACTTCCACCGCACTCCACCCATCGCCTTCTCCACCCAAGCTCCAGCTGCTGTGTCTGGTGGCTTTCAGTGACATCCATTGCCACCTGGCAGCTGTTCATAGGCTGAGGTGGCGGAGGGGTGGTGGAAGGAGCAATAGAGGCGAAGGAGAGGCAAGGATTAGTGGGGGGATAGGAGGGAGGCAGGTGCAGAAGATAGGTAGGGGAGAAAGCTGCTTGGAGTTGGCAAGCTGTTCCGATGACCATTCCGTGAGGCTGTTTCAAATCAGTTTGCATCATGTATATAATAGTTTTTTTCCCTATCTGATGCTTGTTCTCAGGTAGATAAAAGCCCAGATATGTCTGGCTGCGCCTTTTATTTGGGCCGAAATGAAGGCTTTGGAAATTAGCAGGACACTTGAATCACTGGACTGGTTATACCTGTGAGAACAAAAGTGTACAAAAGCTGCATTTTTCTTCGTTTCCTGCTCTAGTTGCACTTGGAGCGGCATTTCTTGGCGTATTTCTTGCACTTCTTGTAAGTGTGCGTGCACTTGTGGTGGTCATGCTTGTCGTCCTTGTTCTCGCGCTTGCACTTGCTGTACTCCTCGTTGCACTCCTTGTTCTTGTCCTCGCAGTCCGACTTGCACGACAGCTCGCGGTGCATCTGCGCCGACCACAGGAACCGCCTGCTCGCGCCCAACAGCTGCCCCACCACACCTGGAAATAACCAACCAACGCAAGAAACAAAGCTTTAGTAATCACACACAGATGCTATACATTCAGGGGAGCTGAAACTTCTGCTGGTGCCAAGAACGTTCGATGTTTACGAGATGTAATAACAAAGAAGGCAGAAGGAGCCAAGATTCAGCAAAGCACGGCATGCCCGCCGGCCTGAGGGCGCGGCGGTTACGGCACCCAACGGCACTGAGCACGACGTACGGTAGAAACGAAACGCACCTGGAGGCGAGGCGTCGGAGGGAATGGCGGCTTCCAGCGCGTCATCTTCGAGGTCTCCTTCCGCGCCAATTTCACTCGCGCGGCACTGAAGGAATATTATGGAGAGCACTACGACGGCGAGAGAGATTCTGCTTATGGGAATGATGTTGCGCTAGGAATTCGGTAGCGTTTGGGTAGCGTTGGTCTCAAATGACTAAGTGAGAATTTGAGTAGAGATTGGACTTCACTAGGAAAATAGAATATATGAAACACAAACAAACACACATGCAAATATAGGCTACGGGAGAGTTGCACAAAGTTGCCGTGGCGCTGCGCAGTAACCCAACCCCACGAAACTGTCGTGTGGGTGGGTGAACGCGCCTCGGCCAATTCCCAACCCAACTCAGCAGCGCAAACCACTTCCGTGCACGCCACTCCAGCCAACACTGCAAGGAGTGGCGTGACTCTCAAAGAAGCACGCCCAACTCCCAAAGACCCACGCCATCCTGCACTGACTCCGCCGAGTTTGCTGCGGTAGCTCGCTGTCACCCACAGTCACTAGTGACTGCCACCGAACGCATGCGTCGGTGCCGAGTAGACTCAGTCGTTAGGCGCTGACCTGCCAAGTCAAAGGTCATCGAGGGCCCTTGCTGTCGTAGGGCCCTCTAACAGGCACTGCGGCGCCAGCGCGAGGGATACGACAAGGGAGAGTGCGAGCAGGGCGAAGAAAAGCCTGGAGCGCGCCATGGCTGCAGCGAATGCTGGATCAACAGGGGTGGCGCCTCGGACACGACGAGAGCGTGAGAACGACTTGCGGTAAAAATGCTAGAAACTGGTTGTTAGTTCCAAGTTGAACTGGAGCTGGTACCGATTAGCATTCAGGTCCTGCCTTTTATAGGACCAATGCAGCGTCTCTACTGGCAGTAGCACTGTGTACATCGTGAAAAGTACGCAAGCCTAGTAGCGACTGGTCGGTAGGTAACTCCAGCGGCTGGTCGGTGATAGGTAAGCGTGGTGGAGTATTTCTGGTCGGCGTTTGAGCTGCGTGTGCTAAGCGAAACTAGCGGGATGGGGTTGATTGATCGAAGTGTTAGGAAACGTGGGAAGCAGGAGAAGGGGCAGCTGGGGAAGTAGGGGTGGTACGGTACTGGAGTACACGTAGTTATGTGTGCTTGCTGCGATAGATCATCCGTTGAGGAAGAAAGGCGCGGGTCGGAGGACAAGAAATGGAATGCGAGTTCGAACCGCGCCATGCGACGCCAAATTGTATTTTGGCGAAACGATTCGCTTTTCACGAAAATTTGGGCTGTTCAATTCAAACAAGTCAGTTTGTGTCAGCTATTCAATCCACTCTCCCGATACCAACCAGTATTCACACGTTGTACATGTATGGTCTGTTCTAATGGTGGCTTAGGAGAATACTAAACCTATGACAAAACGTGAATACCTTGGGTACAAGGAAAACCCATTTTTCAATAACGGAGTGTGTGGTACTGCTAGAATCGGTGGCCCCGCCCGTCGCTCGCCCGTCGTCCCACTGGCTCGACATCCCACTGCTGCTGCACTAGCGACGACGAGCTGCGCGAGGGCGCTCGTCGCACCCCACCGTTACGCTCCCCCGTCCCGCTCGTCGCGACCCCTGTCTCACTTTACCCATGTACTAGCAAGCAAGAGAGCCAACAGACCCGCGGACCCATCTGCAAGTGAGCCAACGGACCCGCAAACCCGCCTT